GCATAGATCCGGTACCGAGTTATATTGACCCGTAAATTACACCGACATTTAGCGTCAAAGGTCGCCTATATCTGCTCCCCAAGTCTCACTGATGCAACGTGTGTTCCGTCTCGTTGCCCAAATAAAGCGACAGGCATCCTTAAAACTGTCCAGATGCACCGCCCACCGCTGAAGCGATACGAGGCACATTTAAAAACGCGGTTTAATTATATTTTATTCTAATCTGATCAGAAATATATCTATAACGTTCCTCTTTACTTTATACAATTTACTTACCAGAGAATATTACATCCCGGAATCAAGTAATAAAATAATCAATCTTGCTAACAATTAATCTCGAGTAACTTTATTCCAACGAGGAGACACATGCTTCGGCTTAATTATCGAAAAAAATACTTGACCCCTAAAATTGCAAACAAACGATGACATTTAATCGAACTTTTCTTACGAATCGATAATCTCCAAGCTTGCAAAGCGATTGAAAAGTATACTCTCGTGGGGTTATTCGTATACGTTCCATTAGGATCACTTAACGTGCGCGGCACAAGTCCTTTCACGCCTCAGGAGGCAGGTTCCATCTAATTTAGGGATTTAACGATGTGTGGAAGAAAGATGAGCGAACGGTAAAGTTATCCAGTGTCTCGTAACTACCGGCGCGGCGTGCTCGAGGAATGCTCGAGCGCTTGGGTCCTCGAGCGATTTTTAAGGCGGCCTACCGTGCGACTTTCGCGCAAATTCGATACCGTTTCACCTTACAGTTTCGCAACGGCACGCGAAATGAAAGAAATTAGTATTGCTACATTATGCTCATTCCTCTTCTCACGCGCGGCAACGCGTTAATTTTATTGTCGCGGCGAACGCGAACATTTTTGAGGTCAACACACTCGTAACAGCTCGGAAAACGTTATTCCCGTTCCCACCTACGTGTAATCAAATAAAATCATTACAACAATGTAAATGTATATGAAACGAATTAAATTATACGGAGATCGTTGTGAAATCGAGCCCTCGTTTGCCTTATACGTCATATTATCTACGTTACGTCAATATATGAAATAATAAGCGTTGAAACAAAAGTTTCTTTAAACAAGTACAATTTTTATGGTACATTACTTTCTGAGATTTGTCATAATAATAAGTAAGTAAAATTATATAATAAAATTGATGCAACATACATTAAATCAATTGCAAGTGTAAATATTCTTGTCCGTACAATTTCAGAGAAGATGCTTCGTTATCAAACGCTTGACGGGTCTAATATCTTTTCTAATTTCTGAAACAAATCGAAAGTGTTAATCATCTCACAACTTTCAACGCTATTATTATTAATCACTAAATTAATAAGCTGTCTCTCTATTCTACGCAAACAAGAGATTTCAAACAGATCTTGTCCTCGTCTTTCACCAACATCTCATCACGAGATTTGTTTCTTTTTCTTTTTCGCAGATGCACATCACACAAAACCAGAGAAGTGTCTTTCGGGATATTATTTTTTTGCACTACCTGAAAGGCGACGACCTGCCAAAGGCTTAGGCTCCTCCGGAAATACCCGCTTTCTTCCCATCTCCCCGGACAGGTTCAATTTTTCTCAATTACCCACTCTGGCTTCGAGAAAAAACAATTCCGGATAAATTTCCCCTCTCGCCTCTCGGAATTTCCACCCACTTCTGCCGCCCACCTTCGCGGCTCTTCAACCAATACGGACGGCAACCTCGACGCAACGCTGACGGACGCGGGTCGCGGTGTGCGTTTGTGTGAAAGTGCCCGCCGTTCCCTCGGAGGCGAGCGAACGGCGAGTATGACGATGACGATAATAATAATAACAATGAAACGAGCCGCGCGGCCCGCGGACTGGGCAATACTGGCATATGCAACCGGAAAGGGTTACGCGGCCCCGTAGCCGTGTTAGCAAACAAACTGGTGGTCGCGCACAGGTGGACGGCCGCGTTTCGCGGGCCATCTGGCCGACGGTGTTTTCTCCGGGCGGGGGGAGGGGTCGCTTACCTCGGGGGGGCCTCAGCGCTCGTCCTGACGATCGTCCGAGGATGGCGGCAACCCGGACCGTGCGGCACGAAGCGAGGCGAACAACACCGCGGGACACGCAGAGGAGCGACGGGGAGCTAACGGATAACGGAGCGCATACGCGGCTGTCACCACACTGTCATCGTCGCGGATGGGATTCGACCACGCGCAATGTTACCAACCGACGCGGCCGGGGCCCCCGCGGTGTCGCCAATCATCACCAATCCGCTTCGCGCGGCGCTCGTGCGACTCGCGGCGGCCATGTTGCCTCGTCGAGCTCTCGCACCAGCTCTCGCGGTCAATTTCCGTCGGCTCCTTTTCGAAAAGCGAGCGAGGCTCTCGGCTCGCAATCCATATACCCTACGCTACATTATTTATGC